AACTGGGAAACTGGAGGAGCTGCTAGAGTATACTAGTAAACAGATTTACTTCTGTTCAACATAAGTTACTAAGTGCTCATCACATGAGGTGGTGAAAACTTCTGGGAAGAATGTGAATGACTAAAGTAGTTAGCAATGTCAAATTGAACACATGTAATGTGAAAATATTATTGCGCCACTAACAAGAGTATGACTAATAAAAAGTTCTCTCTTCTGAAAAAGCAGCACTGTCAGAACAATGCCCCAATACCCATCCTCCCCAAGGTGCTGATGTTCACAGCAGAGGGGCCCTGGTCCTTGGACACAGTGTAGAAATTTCCTACCGTTGTCCCAATAATGTAAAATAAAATTAATCATATACTTAAAAGTTATGACTTAAATTTATATTACAAATGATATGCTATGCTATGTGCCTAACCACAGGACTTGAGCAAGCTATTGAAACTCCCTAAGTCCTTACATTAAGAAATTGTGAGGATGCAATCAGACAGTGTGTAAAGCATTTAAGGCTATGCCTGGCATAGTGCTATCTCAGATGTTGGCTATTAGCACTAAGTGTGAATATGCCTGACCAGTAGCCTTTAATGCCCTCCCATTCTGAGAATTACAGATGGTCTTGGTGGTATCTCTTCTGGGAAAACTGTGGAATCAGTAGAACCCTTTAATTCCCTTCAGGAAATTTAATTCCCTGAGGAGATTTATAGGACTTGGTTTCTGTTCTGACCTGTAGAAGACGCTGCATGCACACTGACAGGGCTTCAAATCAGCACCATTCAAGCCCAGCACAAGTAGCTCAGTGGTTGAGCGCTGACCCACGAAATAAGAGATCACCAGTTCAATTCTTCGTCAGGGCACATGCCCAGGTTACAGGCTCAATCCCCAGTAGGGGGTGTGCAGGAAGCAGCCGATCCATGATTCTCTCTCATCATTGATGTTTCTATCTCTCTCTCCCTCTGCCTTCCTCTCTGAACTCAACAACAACAACAAAAAACAAAACAAAAAAAATTCAGCACCATTCAAGCTACAAGTAGGAGTACCTATTTTAATATTGGTATCTGGGTGTGTTAGATGTGACATTGGCACATTGTGGTCCTTCCCTTCCTCCTCACTTCTCTTTTGCAACCTTATACATATTTATATTCAGGTCAAAGGACAATTTAAGGGAGTTGTAATGTTTACCTATGTGCAGTTTCCTGGTCATAAAAAAAAAGTTTGTATGAAGGAACCTTGGCTGAAGTTTTAATTACAAACTGAGTACTAACATTCTGTGAAAATTTTAGTTAGGCAGCTACTTATTTTTCTGACATTTTCCCTGCTAGCTCAAACCATAAATACTAGACAAATTTGTTTTCATTGTAAAAAAAATAAATCGTTCTGTCAATAAATGGTTAAAGTTGACATTTTCCTTTCATTTTACTGTATTATAAAAATAATAAATCTTACCAAATTAAAATATCTCACACAATAATGCTCAGTGTACCATGCAGATTACAGGTTTCAAAGATAAACTAAGTATGATATTCAACTCATAATTATAAATTTGTGCATTGCTTTTGATTCATGATATTGTGTTAAATTCTGAATGGGAAAGGGGAAGAAGCAGGCAGGCTTGGCATTATCACAACCAGACAACGGCATTTCAGTTTTCTACTTACATTGCTTATAACTCTAAATTTGCTTTTTACTCAATAACACTAAAATTGTAAATCAATGATGGCAAAATTTTTGTTTAAAGAAAATGTATACCCAAATTAAAGGTACTTATCTTTATTTTCACCTACCTGCCTTGGAGTGGCCCTGGAATATCCCCTGATAGTTTTTTTCCATTTTCCTCCTCTGTTCTTCTAATTTAAAGGAAAATTAAAAATTATTCACTTTATCATATCAAATTTTTACCATTTGAGCATGCAAGCATATGGTGATCCTATATAATAAAAGCCTAATATGTTAAGTGTCCCGTCAACTGTTCAACCAATCAAAGCGTAATATGCTAATGACATGCTAAGGCCACTCAACCACTCGCTATGACATGCACTGACCATCTGGGGGCACACAGTCGACCGGTCGACCAGTCACTATGATGTGCACTGACCACCAGAGGGCAGATGCTCTGACCGGTAGGTTAGCTTGCTGCTGGGGTCCAGCAGATTGGGACTAAGCGAGACAGGCCGGACACGCCCTGGAGCCCTCCTGTGGTTCCTCCCTGGCTGGCCAACCTCCCGTGTCCTTCCCTGGCCCCAATCGTGCACCGGTGGGGTCCCTCAGCCTGGCCTGCACCCTCTCACAATCCAGGACCCCTTGGGGGATGTAGGAGAGCCAGTTTCAGCCCAATCCCACAGGCCAGGCCAAGGGACCCCACTGGTGCACAAATATGTGCACCAGGCCTCTATATTATCTATAATTTCTTAGTAACTGATGTAGAATTTAAAACACATTTATATCTCTCCCTCCCTGTTCATCCTTTGCCCCAGCCCCCAATTTGTGGTATAATTTGAGTTTCAGGAAAAGAACATGAAACCCATTTC